CCCTCAATAAATCTGCTAAAGGATGTTAAAGGAGGGAATGAATTATATACAGGAATAGACAGGGAGAGGCGGGAGTTCTTCCTGTGTCCAAAGAGGAAGGGGACAAGAAAGGCTATTTACTTACTAGCCTCCAGGCTTTTCCAATAGCTTCTGCTTCCTTGATCCCAGAAAGGTGGGGATCCTGGCCTATGCCAAAGGCACAATAAAGTCACCGAGCACATTTTCCCCTTTCTCTGGGACTGAATTCTGGAATGCTTTGGTAGGAGATTGAAAGGACTACAGAAGTTATTTGTCTCCCACTTCTGGGTAGCCTTTGAGGTGGTGGGCCTTGGGGCTGGGCATGCCTTCAGCCTTGGAAAGAGAGAACCAAGAGGGGTTCCCTCCCTCTTAGCTAATGGTCTCAACTATTAGCTCACAGAAGAATACAGAAGCCACAAGAAATAAATTATCTCGACGCCCCCAAGCAAACTTCCTTGCCCCAGCTCCCACATGAAACTCTTCCTTCTGTAAAACAAAAAATGTACCCTTCTACTCTTAAAGACTAATTCCTTTCTGAGCTCTGCACTCCCTGTCTTCCCCTGCCTTCCAAAGAATCATACCCTATCTGCTATCTTGGTTTTCCAGCATGCCCTTCTCTACAGGCTCCTTTCAATCAGCAATTGAACATGCTTGAATCACGTCTTTAAAAAACAACAAAAACTCCATTTCACCCTACTTCCTCCTCCAAATACAGCCTTCTTTTGGTGGTGGTCCTCACCATCTTAGTCACAGCCAAATGTTGTGAAGAAGTTGTCTATTCTTTCTGTACTCCCTCATCTCATACTCACTCCCCAATCACCGTAAACTGACTTCTGACTCTACCATCCCCCACGACTTATACTAGACAAAGTCACTGATATCCCACATGCCTGCATACTCAATGGGCAATTTTTCATCCTTATCTTGTTTAATGTCTCGGCAGCATTTCATATATGGACTTCTCACTTTATAACTCTTCATAAACACGTATTTACTGAAGAGCTACCATGTGCCAAACACTCTTCAATGCCCTGAGAATACTACAAGGAGTAAGATAAAATTCCTGCCCTCAAGGAGTTTAGAAACCTAGAGGCAAGAGTACATTAACAAATATTATTTCAATCTGGTAAATGCTTTCAAAGAAATAATAGGGCAATGTCTAGAATGTAATGACGGGGGTCTACCATAGACAACAGTGTGGCCAGGAAGGCTCAAAGGACACCATGTAATGTCTTTTTTTTTTTTTTAAAGAGATGGGGTCTGGCTCTTTTGCCCAGGCTGGAGTACAATGGCACAGTCGCAGCTTACTGGAGACTTAAACTCCTGGGTTCAAGGGATGCTCCAGCCTCAGCCTCCTGAGTAGGCAGGACCACAGGCATGTGCCACCATGCCTAATTTTTTTTTTTTTTTTGAGATGGGGGTCTCACTGTGTTGCCCAGGCTGGTCTTGAACTCCTGGCATCAAGTGATCCTCTCACCTCCATCTCCCAAGTAGCTGTGAGGACAGCCGTGTACCAGCTCTAGTGTCATTTGTTGCCTGCCCCACATACCTCTTTTTCCATCTCTCTCTTTTTGACCATTCATCAGACTGTCCTGTAGGCCCCTCTTCTACTACTCATCCCCTAATGTTGGTGTTTCTCATGGCTAAGAACTTGCCTTTTGGCTCTTAATACCACAGAGAGGTAACAGTGGTTCATCCACTTCCATGGCTCATGAACCCCAAACCTAGGATCTAAACTTGGCCTGTCCTTCAGGCTCCAGATCCACACATTCATATACCCACTGAACAGCTCCATTGATGTCCTCAGGTGCCTTAAACTTTTCAGTTGAGAACTAAATTTGTCTGCCCCAGCTGCTCCTATTTTAGTAAATGCATCATCATCAACTCAGGTGCCCCTAATAGAAAGAAACCTGGACATGATCTGAGCTCCCCTGTACTCCCCACAGCACATCAGTCCCACAGACCTGTGAATTCTTTTTTTTTTTTTTTTT